CCCTGACTTAATTTTTAGAATCTTTATAATTCGCAAATCCTGCGAGTTACACGTTTCAAAATATTAGGGCATATCAACATTAGCCTAAGCTACAAAATGATTTGCTTTTTGAATCCAGCCATCCAAAGAATACCAAGAATTTTTTTTTTTTAACTGAGGGCAAAAATAAATTTCTCCATATTTAAACTGGCTAAATTCCTACAAGTTTTTCTATATTAAAGAAAATTTGAACTTTTACACAGGGCTAATTAAGATTGAACGAAATATTGAGTAGTTTTTTTATAATAGCTGTTTTTATAGAATTTCTGATTTCGTGTGCGTGTGTGCGTGTGCGTGTGTGTGTGTGTGTGTGCGTGTCCGTGTGCGTGTGCGTGTGCGTGTGCGTGTGCGTGTGTGTGCGTGTGTGTGTGTGTGTGTGCGTGCGTGCGTGCGTGCGTGAGTGAGTGCGTGCGTGCGTGCGTGCGTGCGTGTTTGTGTGTGTGTGTGTGTGTGTGTGTGTGTGTGTGTGTGTGTGTGTGTGTAGCGATGTCCCTCTTAATACATTTCCAAAAACCCCATTGCGATTGCCAATCCGCCTGCCAAGCGTGGCAACTACTGACAAAACTCCTCTTATGAGGAAGGCTTATGTCCAGCAGTGGACAGTTAACTGAAATAATAAAAATCCTTAAATTATATAAACAAAGAATCCATCATTGCTTTGCCATAAAGAAACGCTGTAAAAGAAAATCATTCGAACAACTACGGCCTGGATAGTACAATTTCGATCTAATCTATTTTCGTATTATTTGTAACTTAGCCTAGTTTCATAACCGAATGTCTGCCGCCAATTGCTTCTTACTGTGATGCAATAGGATGAATTACGTTTACATTATTTCACGTCCAATTTATTCATAGTATTCTTTAAAGCAATCCATAAAAAATACATCGATCCTTACTATTTATAAAATATTTATTTATTTAACTTTTTATTTCACCAGAAACAAAAATATACAATGACAATTGAAGAATTCAAGTGAAATAAAGTAACATATACATTTACATATACAGTGGGCAGTTAATGGCTAAAAATACAATTGTAAATTTAGTTTCAGTATGAACACTAGATGGAATGGAGTGAGGCCCAGAGCTCACATTTTGTAATTAATTCCCATTCCCATGAGACAGATCGATTATGAGGCCCTTTAATATTAAACAAAAAAGTTCGGCAACACTGGAAGACTTCATACAGTATACTTTCTCTACTTACCTCGCTGCGTTACTTTCACTTAGGTACCTAAAGGGCGTCGATTGATCAAAAAGAATAACGGCATATACCTGTTTTGATGCATTTCAACAAATTGAGATAAATTTCTAAATCATGGGATCCACCAATTATGGGATCTGTTTTTAATGGATAAAAATGGAATATGGATGAAAATACAATGGTATCTCCATTTACACTAGTGTTCGAAATTTATTATCCAACGATGCTTATTTTACGCCTGTTTTTAACTTCATTACCTTCATTATCTATAGTATTATATAGATAAAATTTAAGACTTTTTTTTATGTTATAAATATTGTTAATTATTTTTATCTGGTAATTTGTACTATAACCGTAAAGCAGTTGTGTTTGCATGGCTGTGTTTCGGTTTGAAGGGTGGGATATGGCGTGAATTTACAGGGTACAGAGGTATAACACCTGAGTCCTCAGGAATGGCAACGCATGGGGGGTATCATGGGCGAAACAGTATACTCTGTTATGTCCACGGTACTGCTCATGTCTATAGGTGACGGTTACCACTTTCTATCAGCTAACAGCTAAATTAATAATAATAATAATTCTTATTATAAAATTTTCATAAATACACTTTATATTTTAATGTAAGAATACCCGGATTAACATGTATTGTAGTCGAGAAAAATCGATTAGTTTCTGGACCATCCAGGACCTTTAGTCATGAGTTATTTTTACATTAAAATACATTACATGGAATTGTGATTTTACAATTTTATTTCGCAGAAAAAAAAAGGACAGATTCAAATATCGCAAAATTAATATGGGACCAGACCCTTACGCTAGCAAAATGAATTGTTAAAATCGATTCAAAATGGGTGATGCGAGTACAATCGCGTAACATAGCCAAGAAAAAGTCAGACTAATTATTAAACGATTACTTTATAAAAACAACATTAAAAAAATTACGGCCTGAAGGCCACTTTTAAAGAGACTTTTCTTCGACTGCGTGAAAAAATAAATAAAAGTAAATTAAGTTAAGATAAGGATATAGCTTATTTGTTTAACAAATTTAAATAAAATCTATTTAATAGTTTTTGCGTGAAAAAGCAATAAAGTATTTAGTATAAAAGTATAAAAGCCTATTTATACATCCTCACAAACTTTCACGTTTATATTATAGTACTATTTCAATTATTCCTTCAAAATAAAGTGTTCAAAATTAACCTTTTTACATATATTATAGTTTTTTTTTTTTTTTTATAAAAAGAAAATTGATAAACAATTGAAGAAACAAAATATATGCAATACATCAAGTCAACAGACGGCACTTTTACTTACAACTAATATAATTAATGAATAATATATAATAACAAGAACCAGCATATTTTACAAATATAACTAGTGGTCCTTCGAGCCGGATATGAACCAGCGACATAAAGATTGTGCCCCACAAAAAAACCGACTTCAATTGGGGCAACACCAGTTATTTATAAACTAAACCACTGTACCGATTTTGATAAAATTTCTTTGGGACCAATCTGTAAGAATGTCCTTCCAGATAAAAAAAGAATATTCTAAATCGGTTTAGAACTGACTGAGTTATGAGGTAACAAATATAAAAAAGAAAATAATCGAATACAGAACCTTCTATTTTTAGAAGTCTGTTGTAAATACATGAGCAACGCATTCGAACCGTTATAAAACACGGCTGCGCGCGCGCATTGTCCGGTTATTGTCATAAACGACAACAATCGTAGTGAACATCTGGGGTAAATACTAATCATTGCGCACGCGGCCATGCGGCAACGTAATCAGTAGTAGTTCTTTGGTTTAGTCGGTTTGTGGGTTTGTATATAAGGAAATATTATTATGACATGGTTTTTTCGACTTCAAAGTATCTTCTAGTAGGTAGTTCTCAATTCATCTGTATGTTTTGTGGTTATGTTTTTTTTTTTAATGGATGATAATGGAGTGGTAACCCCGCCTGCGCTATCGATATACACTGGGGCGGGGCACCAGTGATAGATGATAGGTGACTATGAAAGTAGAAAGTAGAAAATTTACTGGGTACAGAATAATAACATCTGAGTCCTCAAGAATGGCAACGCTAGGGGGGTATCATGGGCGAAACAGTATATATATATATATATATATATATATATATATATATATATATATATATATATATATATATATTTTACCCACCCCTATTAACACTTGTACCTTCCCGAATGACTTTAAAATAGGCAGTAAATATAAACTCGACTCGGTAAATATGCATAAGTACAGTTAAAAGGCGGTAATCATGATGATTACAAACTTCCTCGTCAATGAAATCATTAATTACAGCCTGTTGTTGTTGCTGCTAATCAATGTAGCAGTTAGGGTCGAATTATAAGCGGTCCGTAATGCCGGTCACTCACTCAAAAATATTTGTAAGTTTAGGTAAACAGATTTGTTTTATAAGCGGCCCGTCCCGGCTTCGCATGGGTAGACATTTTTACAACATTTTAAAAAGTGATTATTGTGATATAACGATAATAGTTGGACATATAGTATCGCGAAGTTTTTTAAAGTTATTGATATTTTCTTCAATATTGTAGAACATACTTTTGTCCTATCACCAATAGTTTCCGCAACGCACGCGACGAAAGATATTTTATAGCATTTTTTACACCTTGAGTTACGTTACTAAAGTTTTAGTAAGGATCCCTAATCTTTTCTAGCAATAAATATAGCCTATGTTACTCAGGATGAATTTAGCTTTCTAATGGTGATAAATTTTTGAAATAGGCAAAGTAGTTTTTGAGTTTATTCATCACAAACATACACACAAATATACAAATCTTTTCTCTTTATAATATTATTGTAGACTAGGTGTATTAATATAGAAATCTTATCCAAAACACAAAATGTAAAAAAATGCTAAGTCTCACAGCGTGATTCTTTATATATATATATATATATATATATATATATATATATATATATATATATATATATATATATATATATATATTCTTGTAAATTACATTGTTAATGCATTTATAAATATTGTTAGCAAGGGTGGACTTATCTCTGACAGAGATCTCTTCCAGTCAACCCAATACAGTTAGAAAACATATCGTTAGCTGGCAGCTGAAGTGCTACAACTATTAATATTTAGAATACATAAATAATTATACCTACAGTTAAATAAAATCATCTTCGTTTTTCCACTACAAAAAATTGTGAGATTTCATGTGAAACCATGTCAGTTATTTAGGTAGTGTCTAGGGAAGCATCTATTGAACAACTTTGTTATAAATGCTTTTTTTTATACAACTTAGAATGGCAAGCAAGCTGACGGCCCACCTGATGTAAAGTGGTAACCGTCGCCTATAGACATGAGCAGTACCGTGGACATAACAGAGTATACTGTTTCGCCCATGATACCCCCATGCGTTGCCATTCCTGAGGACTCAGACGTTATTCCTCTGTACCCAGTAAACTCACGCCATATCCCACCCTTCAAACCGAAACACAGTCATGCAAACACAACTGCTTCGCGGTTGAAACACGAATGGAACAGAGGTACCCAAGCAATCGACTTTTGTACAAAGTCATCAATTGCTTATCAACATTTATAATGACCGTATCAATATTAGATATCTTTATTTCTATAATAATTAAAATGACTTGGCAATTGCACTGCAACATATTCGAATAATAAAATAAAATTTTTCGTAATTGCACTGCTTAGATTTACTTAGTAATCGAAATAGTAGATATAGGCGACGGTTTTTTTTTTAATCGGTGTCAAGTAAGGATGAAGCCAGGTCAGTCGGCCCATCGTGAAGAATTCAACACGAATTAACCACGATGGTTTCGAGGGGCAACCACGTGAAAGTCGACCCGATACGGTATATTGCTAGCAATGCGGCTGTTATTACCCATTACTAATGATAGGGTATATAGCTAGCAATGGGGCAGTTAGACCCCATTACTAACAGTCCCTTTCCCCCTATAGGCGACGGTTAAAATTTTTTATCAGGTGAGCCGTCAGCTTGTTTGCCATTAAAGTTGTATAAAAATTTTTTTTTATTTTTATTAAAGTATTGACAGTTTTAATACAGGATTCATTCTTAACATATTAATCACCTTAATATCTTTACAGATGCGACAGAAATGATGTTCCAAGAGATAGCATTCAAAGCGGAGCTGGACCGCCACAACGACCCTGAGTCCGAGGAGGAGGCGAGGATACTATGCGACGAGCACCCCGCCACCAGGCAGAGGAACATCGACGAGCTGCGAAACATGATTTATGGTAAATTGAGGTCAATAATCCGTTATACCATAACAATTCTCATGTACTGTACTTAATTTATATTTAACACCTCATTAACTTCCCATTAGAGGCACGTGTACTTCTTTGCCATTATTTTTTTTTATATTTCCAAATTGACTAAAAAAACCGGTGAGGTGTGTGTTGAACTAACATGCCAAATAGGGGGGAAAGGGATTGTTAGCAATGTAGTTTGATAACCCCATTGCTAGCAATATGCCCTATTAGGTCGACCTCCACGTGGTTCCCCCTGGAAACCATCGTGAACAATTCTTATTGAATTCGTCACGATGGGCTAACTGACCTGCTTCATCCTCACCTATCATCCTTCACTGGTGCCCCGTTGGTGTATACCGATAGCGCGGGTGGGGTTACCATTCCATTATCACCCATTAAAAAAAAACATGCCAAATATTCCCGCTATGAGATAAAAACATGTTTTTAATCTTACTTTATTTTCTTGTACGAAATAAACACCCACTAGTTGCTATTTCAGATATTTGTTTCACATATTACCAGAGGGAGACATTGTACAAAAGTCGTTTGCTTGGGTACCACTGTTCCATTCGTGTTTCTACTCTGAAGCAGTTGTGTTTGCATGGCTGTGTTTCGGTTTGAAGGCTGGGACATGGCAGTGAATTTACAGGGTGCAAAGGCATAACACTTTAGTCCTCAGAAATGGCAACGCATGGGGGTATCATAGGCGACACAGTATACTCTGTCATGTGTATGGTACTACTCATGTCTATAGGCAACGGTTACTACTTTCCATCAGGCGGGCCGTCAGCTTGTTTGGTATTCAAAGTTGCATAAAAAAACCAACAAATTCAGAGATAAAGACGATGGAGAATTGTATTACATTTTTCATAAGTAGAAAATTATGCAATGCAAAAATAATGAAAGAACAGTTTAGCAGTCTACCCTAAAAAGTATTACGAGTAAATTATACATAGATAGATAGATACTCTTTATTGTTTCCTCCAAAAGATTACAATAGTAAACTTATTATAAATATAAACAATTACAAGAAATAATCACAATGAGAAAACAACGGGCGACCTTATCGCTAAGAGCGATCTCTTCCAGGCAACCTTTGGATGGAGAGGAGTAATTATAAACAATTTAAAAATTAAATTAGTAAATTTGTATTCACAAACATCATTTGTTTGACAGCAGTACTTAAAAGATACGTACAAAAAATAGTAAAAAGCACGCTATTCACAAAACTCTTTCGAGAACGCCTTTGAATAGGTATGATTTATAATAAATTACAGTAGAGATGCCTTTTCAAAATACATATACATTTTTAACTAATTTTAAAAAGCTAGAATACAGCATCGAAGCATTTGGCGGTCTATTGTTTCTGCCTACCCTAATGGCAGACAGGCGTGACAAATATGTATGTGGTCCCGGCATTGATTTTTTTTTATACAACTTAGAATGACAAACAAGCTGACGGCCCACCTGATGGAAAGTAGTAATCGTCGCCTATAGACATGAGCAGTACCATGGACATAACAGAGTATACTGTTTCGCTCATGATATCCCCCCCCCATGCGTTGCCATTCCTGAGGACTCAGGTGTTATTCCTCTGTACCCAGTAAATTCACGCTATATCCCACCGTTCAAACCGAAACACAGCCATGCAAACACAACTGCTTCACGGTTGAAACACGAATCGGACAGAGGTACCCATGCAATCGACTTTTGTACAGTCTCCCTCTGGAATAGAATAGGCCACCCCTTTCATTTTTGTTGTTGTCATAGAAGGCGACTAAAGAAACTTAATGATAGAGGGTAGGAGATAGGTAGATAGGATAGGTAGGTGGATAGGTAGGGGGTGGCTAGCAACGTCCCTCTTAAAACTGAAACTGAAGTCAAAATAACATTGTTCAAGGCGTATTTTCAATCTTTTTACACGAACAGCCTGTGTGTTGACTTTACACGACGGGCAATCTCTACGTGTTCAATACAATATGTAATGTTTTCAGGGTGTTGTTACGGTTGCCACGTTTTTGTAGTGCATCCACAATGTTTGCAGCGGCATCGGCAAATGACTTCTATGCCATCAGACGCAAACAAATTGCATCTCTTTCACACTGACTGCGTGTAAGCGACAGCAGTAACAGCATTCTGAGGGCATTAGGTGATAAATATGATAGCTCGATCCTCTCATTGTGGGCCTTTTAATTACTATGGGGGCCATAAAATGATTTGTTTTGTTTTTTTTACTAACATAGTTTAAGTCGATTGTTACTAACAAAAATAGACCTTAGTTATCTGTAATAAAAATTATTATTATTAGCCTAACTGCGGTTGCCAATCCGTCTGCCAAGCGTGGCAACTACTGGCAAAACTCCCCTTATGGAAAAGGCTTATGTTCAGCAGTGGACAGTTAACGGCTGAAATGATAATATCAGTACGATTGTGTCTCTACATTTTGCTTTTGTATTCTTGTATGTAACATAAGATTGATGGCATGAAAATAGAAGGAAAACATCGTTAATAACTCGAAAAATTGGGGGGAAAGGGATTATAGGGGTAATGGAGACTAAAAATCCCATTGCTAGCAATATACCTAACCAGGTCGACTTGAATGGTTAATTCCTGATGAATTCATCATGATGGGCTAACTGGCCTGTTTTCATTCTCATCGATCACCCTTCACTGGTGCTCCGCCAGCGTATCCCGTTAGCGCAGGCGGGGTTACCATACCATTATCACCCATTAGAAAAAACCTATAAACATCTGCAATACCAGAAGTATTACGCGCGCGTTGTCTTTACTGAAGAAACCTTTATCAAAACAATCTATCTTGAATCTTGAATCAGTCAGATATAAAATCGTAATATTTATTTTTGTTGACTACAGAACACAGGCACGACATCAAGGTTGTAGTTACGAAAAAAAAACTAACAAACAGATACACTTATAGCGAGACACTCACTGTTTACTCATTTCTTACTCAATTATCTGCAGTACAGTCAGAAACAAAGGTTGCTGGACATGATTAATTTAAAATTTATATATATGTATGTTTGTATGGATGTAAGACATGAACATTAACTCAGAAGGAAATGGATAAACTTAGAGCCATTAAAATGTGGTGTTGTAGAAGGATGGAGAAAATTAGCTGGAGGGATCGAATTAGCAATGAGGAGGTCCTGCTTAGGGTTGAGGAAAAAAAACAAATTATTAGAACTATTGAGGACAGAAGGGGAAAAATGTTGGGGCACTTGATACGACACGACGAACTTATGAACATTATAATAGAAGGTAAGATAGAGGAAAGGAGGGGAAGAGGGAGACCGAGACATAGTTACATCAGGCAGATCAAGGAAGAAGTTGGTGTCGTGAACTGGTTGATGGTGGAAAATCGTAGTGAGTGACAAAAGCTCCGCCGACAAGAGCGCAGCTCTTAAATAGGATATATATATATATATATATATATATATATCTATATATATATTTAATAATCATAAATTACTAATCAATGTAAACTAAAAAAAAAAAACTAATAAATAAATCCATATTAAACATTACTTACTAACGACTTATCAATGAAAAAATAATATTTCTTGGACATGATTAATTTTCAATCCATTTATAACAATCACGCCTGTCTCCCATTGAAGTAGACAGAAACAATGAATTACTTTTTAAATACATTATATCAATAATTGTAATCAATTTCGATCGGGGTTTCAAAGATGTTTCCTCCCACCAACGCTTAGATTATAGAACGAGCTTCCTCCTGTCGAGATTTTTCAAAAAAGGGGTAAAGGTTTCTTCAAGGTCAGCAACGCGCGCGTAATTCCCTTGGTATTGCAGGCATTCATAGATTACAGTGACTGTTTACCACCAGGTGGACCTTAGGCTTGTTTACCGCTACAGTGATATAAAAAAAAGACTTAATTTCAAGGGCTCTCCTTCCTTTGAATTCTAAAATTCGATGTCACTATGATATATGACTTATGACGAAACTGTAATTAGTATTCTACCATATTGGTGTTCAGTTATTTATTACTTTTAAATTAATTAGATTACGATTTTTTTTTTATTTATCGTATCTGTGGCATTGATAACGTACAGAGACTGTGATATAATGATCTGTGATTATCAGGTTTTTGACGCAATTGAATTGGAACCAATTCCATATCACCTTGAATACATATTAAATGGACGTAACCAATATATAATTTTAAAGTCTATTCGAAAAATTCAACCAATACTCGTATCTTTTTATTCGTAAAGTTTCGTTGCTGACTGTACTAAAGTGGGATTAAATTGAAATCGCATTAAATACACATTAATTGGACATTACCAGCGTACTATTTTGACATTTATTTATTGATTAAACTTAAATACGCCTCGAAAGTGTAAATGGAGGACTTTACACCATATGGCATTATCTAAGTCGACCGTAGACAGGAATAATCTATACTTATAATGAATCTGTAGAGAGGTCATATCTGTACATGAAATATATTTCCAAAATAACTATCAGGGGGTGATTAGTGATCGATACTGATGACAAAAATGCAATCAGTAAAATTTTTGTCTGTCTGTCTGTATGTTCGTTATAGAAACAAAAACTACTCGACGGATTTTAACGAAAGTTGGTACAATTATTCTTCATACTCCTGAGCAGGTTATAGTATACTTTTCATCACGCTACGATCAATAGGAGCAGAGTAGTGAAGGGAAATGTTGGGAAAACGGGAGAAATTACTCCATTTTTAAGCTTCCGTCGCGTGTGCAGCCTTATTGGCAACTTTTTAAAATGTAAAAATGTCTACCCGTGCGACGCCGGGACGAGCCCTTCTAATATAATAATTGGTATTAAATTAACAGTCGTATCTATGTGTCTTTGCTGACCGTACCTAAACAAATATTACCATCTTTGAATGCATGAGCACCAAAGCATTAAAATTGTAAAGCCCAAAATAGAGGGGAATGTTTGAATAGAATGGCGGACTCTG